GCCTGGTTCCGCAGAAATATAAGTATCTCGCGGCGGCGCTGCGGCTGTGCTCTGACCAGGGCCGCGTCGCTGAAGAGCACCATGACCTGTTCACCGATGACAGGCGGCTCGTGGACTACATGAGCGCTTCCGCGAAGTCCAGCAAGTTCACCGAGGCTGTGCATCGCATGATCGTGGGGCAGCGGAAGCTGATCAACATGTACCTGACGGGCATCATCGACAAGGCCGACGAGAAGGCCGCGGCCGACGTCGAGGCCGCCGTCATCGGCAACCGCAGGCCAGCGCGCGACGAGGGCCAGGAGGAGGTCGACTTCAACCCGAAGCAGCTGGCGATCAACGAGCGCGTGGACCGCGCGGTGCGGGCAGAGCTGTCGGAGGACTGGGAGGAGGCCGACGAGGCGCGCGAGGAAGCCTACAAGAAGAACACGCCCGTCATCTGCCTTGGGAAGCCTGGGACGGGGAAGACCACCGTGGTAAAGTCCTGCATTCGGCGCGCCCAGGAGCAAGGCGCGCGCGTGCTCTTCGCCCTCCCGACGGCGCAGCTGTCCAGCCGCATGAGAGCCGCGCTGCAAGACCAGGGGGGCCTAACGGTGGACACGTGCCACGCCGCATTCAAGCTGCACGATCCAATCACAGAGAGTCTTCACAGGATGACGGACTTCGACTTGGTGGTGGTTGACGAGGTATCGCTGCTGAGCTGCGAAAGCTTCGAGCGCATCCTGAAGCTCTGGAGCGTCGCGGGGAAAGTCCCCGCGCTGGTCTTCCTCGGAGACAAGCACCAGCTCCCTGGGGTGGAACCGACACGTCCTTGGGAGAGTGCCGCATGGAAGCGGCCGCGCTGCTTCCACGTGTAGCTCACCGAGACCTGGCGGTGCAAGGAGGAACGCTTCCAGGAGATCCTGGACGAGCTTCGGACAGACAAGCCCTCCAAGGAGACGTTCCGCAAGATCGTGTGCGACCACAAGGCGTGGAAGAGCAGAGGCGACCCCACGCCCGCCGAAATGAAGAAGCTCTTCGAGAAGCACCCAGACACGCGGATCGTCACCTGCACGCGCAGGGGCGCTGCGGCCGTGAACGAGGCGGCAGTCGCTGCGCTGTGCGGCCGCAAGACCCCGCTGGCCAGGCTGGACGGCGACGTGGAACTCAACCCCGAGAACTACCTGGATGGCAAGCTTCGCACTGATCGCCGTCTGGTCCCAAGCAGAGTACCGATTCACAAGGGAATGCAATTGTACCTGACGAAGAACAAGAACAAGGACGCCGACGAGGTGAATGGTATGCTTTGCGTGGTGGAGAACGACCACGCCGAGGAGGACATGCTGCGCGTGATGACGAAGACGGGCCACCGTCTGGCGATCACTCGCTGGACCGACCGCGAGAAGGGCAATGCGGTCTACTTTCCGATTCGTCTCGGCTACGCCAGCACCATCGACAAGGTGCAGGGCGACGAGTTCCCCCACATCTCGATATACCTGGACGGGTGGCCTAGACCAGCAGCGGGATATACAGCGCTCAGCCGCGTTGCAACGTCGGATGATTACTTGATCGGCGGCTTCGTGGAGCGCGACAACTTCATACCCGCGTTCTGAGATTGCCGACGGTGTCCGCGCTTTGGCTGGCGCGCGACCGCTTGCCTCTCGCAGTATCCACGCGGTGCGCCTGCCCCGCTGTCGCGTGCAAAGGCACGACCGTGCGCAGTCCTGCTAGGAAAATGATGGTCTGTCAGTGCCACGTCGGGGAAGGGAAGGAAAGCAGAAGGAAGGGCATACGTAGAGATTGTCTGACGTTCTCGACACCCCTGGAGTTTCGAAACGGCGGGGAGGGGGAGCGCGAGGGGGCGGGTCAGGCGCCCCCTCGTACATAGCCACGGAAGGCGTCGTGTGATGCCCTTCGCGGCGGACTGCGCAGTGCGAGAGGGCGCCGGGCGCGTGCCCCTCGCGCTCCCCCCCGTGAAACCCCGTGGGACTTGAAAAACGAGCTCCTGGAACTCCTCGGGGCTTGCTCTACGAGGTCTTGGGCGAATCACTTGGGTCCGCGGAGCCGTTCGGCGCATCTGCGTTGCTTTTTTTTGTCGCGTCCCGGTTTTCTGCTAGATGCACCAGCAAAGCACCAAAGCATAGCCGAAGAAGCCGCCGGAGGCAAAACGTTCTGCATGGCACACCAAGAAGGCCCAAGGGGTCGCCGTAGGCGTATCTCCACGTGCGTTACGCTCCTCAGCATAGCCAGAGAGGCCGCCGCAGGCGTGTTTTCACGTGTAAGGCAGTCCCCAGGGATGGGACCTACCTGAAAGCGCTTGGGAGCGCCAGGGAGCGCCGGGGAGCGCTTGGGAGCTTGCCGAGGGCGCCTGAGAGCGCCTGGGAGCGCCATGCGCCTGGGTGCATTGAGAGCGCTTTGGAGCGTGCCGAAAGCGCCGGAGAGCGCCTGGGAGCGCCTGGGAACGCTTGGGAGCGCTGGGGAGCGCCTGGGAACGCTTGGGAGCGCCTGGGAGCGCCTGGGAGCGCTTGGGAGCGCTTGGGAGCGCCTGGGATCGCTTGGGAGCGCCTGGGAGCGCCTGGGGGCGCCTGGGAGCGCTTGGGAGCGCCTGGGACGTGCGCCAGCCGAAAGGACGCCGCATACTGTATTTTCATATGGTTTGCGGCCCCACGG